CAATAATGTGCAACCAGTCATGTGCATGTCTGGAGCGTCATGGGGGATGTTCTTTTTGAATAATAGAGGTCTGGAATTGCACATTTAGAGCTCTCTTTAATGACGTACATGGGGACGAGCTAACGGCGCTAATGGCCGGGCCTTATTAGCGCGTCATTCATAGTGTGACCGCTTTAATTAACTTGTCTGTTTGTCGTGGCCTTTACATTCGCTGAGTGAATTCAACTGTCCATTTTTCACTCTTTTCCTACTTCCAAACTACGTGAACAGCAACGTGTGATTGGCCAAAAGCATGACATCATTAGCACTTTGTTTCACCTGACAAATACCAGCTCAAGTACCGGAAAACTCATTATGACAGTGGTTCCCAACCTGCTGTGCCCCGTCTAGTCCCTCGCCAGCTGTGGACAGGGGAAAATCTCACATTTCATATTTCACATACTCAAGGGGGGATATTAAGGCAAGGCAAGTGTATTTATATCGCACAGTTCCTACACAAAGCAACTCAAAGTGCTTAACAAAATCAGATAGAAACAATCACACAAAGGCATTAAAACTATAAATAACAGAAATAATCGCAGTACATTCAAAAGAGTGACGATAGAATCCATCCGTTGGTGCACAGCTAAACAAAACTGTTTTTTAATCTGGATTTGAACCTTTTCAGGGTCGAAGCCTGTCTCACATTTTAAGGAAGACCGTTCCAGATATTTTCTGCATGAATCTAAGATGCTGCCTCTTCATGTTTAGTCTTGGTACTTCCTGGTTCTAGTCAGGACTCGAGCTGCAGTTGTTTTAGAGCTTGTTTGGAGAGACCTGTGAGCAGTGGTTACAGTAGTCTAACCAACTGGAGACAAAAAATGTTTAAGAATCTCCAAGTTTGTATTTATTTATTTATTTTATACCTGCCATTTCTCTGTAAACGGTACATTTGAAGCTATACTGTTGTACCAAAGTCTTGTTTGTTAATATTCTATTATAATTGTTGACATTCTCTTTTCATTTACCTTGACTTTTCACAAAATGACAGGCTTGGAATCCACTTGTTATTGCATATTGATGTAATATTTATGATTTTGTGTTTAAACTGTGCTGTACAAATAAACTTGCCTTGCCTTGGCTGAGTGGGTAACACTGTAAGCGGCATGGTGGCTGAGCGGATAGCACTCTTGCCTCTCAGCAAAAAGGTTCTGGGTTTGAATCCTGGCTGGAACAGGGCCTTTATGAGTGGAGTTTGCATGTTCTCCCCATGTCTGCGTACGTTTCCCCTGCCACTAAAAACATGTGCAATAGTTCAGGGTGAATGAGTGGATGGAAATTAGTCCATGCCTACAATCCGGAGTTTTTCACTCTATAACTCTTTCACTCTAAAATATGTAAAAATGTGAAAGCTAGTGTTGGATTGGAACTGTTATTACGGTGTCCAATATTGTGTTGTTTTCAAATCTTTATTGTTGGCTGGTATTTTTCTATTTGTATGTATTTATGCAACCAGTTCGTGCAACTAATTTCCACCTACTGTTTTTCATCTCATTAAATACTACAGAAACAGCTTCTCCAATATCCCGGTACATAAATGTGTGGTTGCCTCTTGTTTAGTATTTGCCGGGTGTCTCTCGTCACACCTCCTTCTCTCACAGACGCACAACACATACGTTCAGTGGAATGTGATCAGAAATGTGCCGCCTGCAACTATCCACTAGCCACAAGGTTCACGCTTCAACAGATACTATCAGTGAAGATTATGTCACTAAGTATATGAGTACTTCATCTTTATGTATCTCCCTACCTCTTTCTACCTACCTCTCTCTCTCTACCTATATACCTCTCTCTCTACCTACCTCTCTCTCTACCTACCTACCTCTCTCTCTCTCTACCTACCTACCTACCTACCTCTCTCTCTCTACCTATATACCTCTCTCTCTACCTACCTCTCTCTCTCTACCTATATACCTCTCTCTCTACCTACCTCTCTCTACCTACCTCTCTCTCTCTACCTATATACCTCTCTCTCTACCTACCTCTCTCTCTACCTACCTACCTCTCTCTCTCTCTACCTACCTACCTCTCTCTCTACCTATATACCTCTCTCTCTACCTACCTCTCTCTACCTACCTCTCTCTCTCTACCTATATACCTCTCTCTCTACCTACCTCTCTCTACCTACCTCTCTCTCTCTACCTATATACCTCTCTACCTACCTACCTCTCTCTCTCTCTCTACCTACCTACCTACCTACCTCTCTCTCTCTACCTACCTCTCTCTCTCTACCTACCTACCTACCTCTCTCTCTCTCTACCTACCTACCTTTCTGTCTCTACCTATCTACCTCTCTCTCTCTCTTTCTACCTACCTACCTCTCTCTCACCTAGCTGCCTACCTACTTACCTACCTCTCTCTCTCTCTCTCTCTCTACCTACCTACCTACCTACTCTCTCTCTCTCTACCTATCTACCTCTCTCTCTCTTTCGACCTACCTACCTATCTCTCTCTACCTACCTCTCTCTCTCTCTCTCTCTTTCTACCTACCTACCTCTCTCTACCTACCGCTCTCTACCTATCTACCCCCTCTCTCTCTACCTATATACCTCTCTGTCTCTACCTATCTACCTCTCTCTCTCTCTCTCTTTCTACCTACCTACCTCTCTCTCTATCTACCTACCTCTCTCTCTCTCTTCCTTATACCTTCTGTATATACTGTATCTATCTATTTCTATATCTGTCATAAACAGATCCACAGAGTCAGTGAGTCACTACAGTGGAATGAAAAAGTTTGGGCGCCCCTAACAATTGCTATAATTTTTCTTCATAAATAGTCGCTTGTTTGAATTAGAAATGTCAGTTAAATATCACAAGCCAGTGATATTTGTGAAATGAAATAAAGTTGGTATCACTGTGTTTGTCTCCTTTATGATATATTTAATTGACATTTCTTATCCAAACAACCAAATATGCATAAAGGAAAATCCTGAACATTGGTAGGGGTAGCCAAACTTTGTCAAACCACTATATATGAGGTTTTGGGCTGGTCTTCTCTTTTTTCACTTTTCTATCTGAAAAAGCTTATCTAAAGACAGAGGCCGGACATACAGAGGTGTGAAAACTGTCGATAGAAACTGTTCTGAGAGAGTAGGAGTGAGTTACTTTTTTTGTGTTCATTTGACATGGATGCAAAGGTTAGTAAGTAATCGTTAATTATATAGCGAAATTCACAGACTAGAGTCTCAAAGCGCTTTACAATTGTTTAGGTCACTTGTCCCTCACTCCACACAGAGAGGTTCATCACACAAGAGGCGCATATGCTGCCAGGCATGTCAAAGTCAAATACATCAGAGGGCCAAAAAAACAAATTTGGGAACATGAAAATAGCGGAAAACGCAATTGACGTAAAAGTGCGTCAATGGCAGGCAACGGGTCATGTAAAATTCATTCGCGGCCCGGATTTGGCCCGCGGGCCTTGACTTTGACACATGTGTGCTAGACCTTTTTTATATGTTTGGGAAACCGGAGCACCTGGAGAAAACCTACACAGACAACCGGAAGTACGTGCAAACCCAACACAGACAGGTGGTGGGCGGCACCAGGAGGTTGGCCGCACGGTGGCTGAGTGGATAGCACTCTTGCTTCTCAGCAAGAAGGTCCTGGGTTAAAATCCCAGTCAGAACAGGGTCTGTCTGAGTGGAATTGTTGTGGCATATTCTCCCTTGTCTGCGCAGGTTTCCTCCGGGTGCTCCCATTTTGTCTACCACTAAAAACCTGCACAATAGGTATGAGAGTGAATGGATGGTGTTGATTGGAGGCTGATGGTCCAGTGTGTTCAGCGACTCGCTTCTGTCATCACTGTGTGTGGAATGATTAGAACAATATCTGAACTTTGAACATTGTAAAGCGCTTTGGGTCTGTACCTTGGTCTGTATAATACGCTATATAAATAATTATAAGAAGAAGACTCAAACCTTGGACCTTCTTGCTTTGAAGGATAATTTTGACTTGAATCTTTACTCTCTACAATATGATAACATTTGATCCTTTTTTGGAATATATACCGTAATTCTCAGGTTATTTTGTGCCCCAAAGTTTATTCCTACAGTATGTTGTTGTATCTTTTTTTTATGTTCAGGCTGCCCAAATGTCTGTACTAAAAGGCTGTTTTAGACATATTGAAATAAATAAATCAAGGTTTGTGGGCAGTCAATGCTCAGCAATATTACATTAAAGTTTCTGGGAGACTGAAAATATATCTGTAATAATAATGTGTGTGTTTGCGATTGATAAAAGTTGCATTTTCATTTCATTTGTATTACTTTTAGTTTGAGCACAAATTGGAACTCCCAGAGCACTCAATTTGACAGCTTTTAGTTTTGGAACTGTATTGGTGCATAACTCAGAATATGTACCTTTTTTGGTTTTACCTTGGTTTAATATGAATGAAGGCTAAAAATCCAGGTGGAAAACTCATATTTTGGGGAAATTTCACAAAATTGGATTGGTTTGACTAGGAACAAAAACCAGGACAAGCAGTGATTGATGTATAAAACAGTCTATATACGCTCCTTTCACTGTGAAAACAAGTACCCTGTCTTTAAATAGTCAATAAGAAAAGCACTTTTCCTTCACTGAACAAGAAAACACAGGATATGAGCTTCGAATCGACCTAACCCCTTGTGGACCTGTCACTTTGGTGTAAACAAGACAATAATCAAAAAAAGAAATGGGAAATGGAAAAGACAGGTTCGCTGTGAGGTCTTGGTGTGAGCGAGATCCTCCTGAGCCGCGGCTAAGGTCTGAATGTGAATGGGATTATCCAGAGTTTAGGCTGAGGTCTGCGTGTGAGTGGGATCCTCCTGAGCCGAGGTCTGGATGTGAGTGGGATCCTTCTGAGCTGAGGCTGAGATCTTTGTGAGAGTGGGATCCTCCTGACCCAAGGCTGAGGTCTCGGTGTGAGCGAGATCCTCCTGAGCCGCAGCTAAGGTCTGAATGTGAATGGGATTATCCAGAGTTTAGGCTGAGGTCTGAGTGTGAGTGGGATCCTCCTGAGCCGAGGCTGAGGTCTCGGTGTGAGTGGGATCCTCCTGAGCCGAGGCTGAGGTCTCGGTGTGAGTGGGATCCTCCTGAGCCGAGGCTGAGGTCTCGGTGTGAATGGGATCCTCCTGAGCCGAGGCTGAGGTCTCGGTGTGAGTGGGATCCTCCTGAGCCGAGGCTGAGGTCTCGGTGTGAGTGGGATCCTCCTGAGCCGAGGCTGAGGTCTCGGTGTGAATGGGATCCTCCTGAGCCGAGGCTGAGGTCTCGGTGTGAGTGGGATCCTCCTGAGCCGAGGCTGAGGTCTCGGTGTGAGTGGGATCCTCCTGAGCCGAGGCTGACATAATGGACTTATTACAGTGGGAGTGGGAGAAGGTGTTGGGAAACTTCTTAACACCTCGCTACATGAAGCCAGAAGGATGACTCAGGACAGAAGCCAGCTCATTCACCAAACCACCGACAGTATGTTGCTATGTTGTCTGTGCAGAGAAAAGATATAGTCGTTCAAGAAAAATAACGTTTTGAGATGAATTTCTTGCACTAGAAAATGCTGAACTTATACTTTCTTCTTTATAATGCTAAAGTTGTAGATTTTATATTTAATTTTTCTTAGTACTTCAACTTCAACTTGTTCACCTAAAAACACTTTTTCTCCTGGCTTCTTTATCTGACTAACTTTAGAGATTTTATTCTTGCTTCTTTATCATGCCAAAAGAAGATAATTTATTTTATTTTAGTATAGAGTTATTGTTCACATACTGTATCTTGTGCTGTGTGCTCCTCATTCCTACTGTTCTGTAACTGGCCCTCCTGCCCCTGATTTCTGCTTCTGCTTGAGAGTAGTGCGAGTGGTGCGACTAGTGCCGCTTCTGATTGGCTTTATGGTTGCTAGGTGGTTGCCATCCACAAACTAAGCACCATATTCCCCAGCCTGATCTCTAATCGCATCTCCCGGGAAAAGGCAAACTCTATGGGTGATGTCAGCAATCCCTCTGGCTATGAATTAAACTGGGCTTACAGTATCAGTCAACAAACTTGTTTCTCTTCCAAAGCCTAGTTTATAACCCAACATTCCCCCCCAAAAAAGTGTCTTTCAAAATTGTTTATTTTTCAAAGTTGAAATTAAAAAAAAGGAGTAGAAAGGCAAATAGTCTTCCCTTTGTGTAACATTTTTCCACAATGCACAAAAATGTTAAAAAGTCATCAATTAACAATGAAAGAGATTACCATATCAATGAAAACCCCCACTGTTTCAAGCGGGAGCAGAGAGGTGCCTGAGTGGAATAGAAAAATATGGAGTATATAAACTTCAACCAGAGATAAATAATGCAGAAGAGCACGCAGCCTTTGGTTTTCTGTATGAATGCACGGCTTCTACCTGGGTTTATTTGTTTGTCCACTTCTCGGCACAAAGTGAAATGGACTCAATACATCGCATCAGGTTTGTATGCACAATCACACCATCGGGACTTGATATTTACAACTCAAAGCAAACTGGAGATGGCTGGAGAACTTGTACATTGACTTTTGGAAGTGAAAAATAAACAATTGATAAGATAGAGGAGAGTGAAATGCCTGCTTGCTTTAGACCACGTCAGAAACTTGTCTTTGTTGCTGTCTAAGTCAGATTTTTTTGCTAAATGATGAAACAAGAACTCAAACCGAATAGGACTGAAAATAAATGCACCCAAAACCAAAGAGGCAAGACAAGCTCATTTGTATTGCATATTCCATACATAAGACAACTCCAAGTGCAAAACAAGATAGAAAACATAAGAGTGGACATGAAATCTTTCAGTTGTATGCACAGCTAAGCAGAAAATTGTCTGAGAAGAAGCCTCACATTGATAGAAGTCAAAACCGTTGGGAAAGCCAGACCTGAATGCTGCAGTGGAACAGAGCTGAAGAAGGAAGTAATTTATATCAGAAGTGGCATCAGCAAGTATGGACATTGTCAATTATCACTAAAGCATGGATTTAGCGCAGTGAAGGAATTGCAATGGTTAATAAATGGTTTAGAGGGCTCTGTTTTATGGCATGTTTGTTAATATGAGATGTTTTGCGATAAAGAGAGTGATTGACCGTCTCTTTTGATGTGACTGTTTCTCTTATCATGTGGATGACAAGAACATCCCCCGTATCTCTCCCCTTCCATCTTCCCTTCCTTCCTTGAGTTACTTATTTTGATGTGATCAGTTGTGAAGGTATGACGTGTGTTTCTTCTTGTTGCGTGTATGGATCCCATTGTGCTCCAGAGACTGATGCAGGATCAGAAGAGCAGCCTGCAGACGTTTTTTTTTTATTTCGCAATGCCTGTTTTTATCATGTGCTTTTTACTTGAATAAAACCAAACAAAATACCGCTCTGTTTCAATGGATCATTGAGAACATTTCCACAACAACTGGGCAAACAAGGATGTGCAGGAACACCTAGGGAAGACCAAGGATGTGTTTGCCAAGTTAAGACCAGTTTGGAGGTCCATCAAAACCAAATGATGGATCCTTGAATCCAACGTGAAGTCCATCCTACTGCACCGCTGTGAAACTTGGGACCTGATACAACTTAACGTCAAGAACCTTTGTGATCTCAAGGATGCATTACCTTAGAATTTGGTGCCCTAAGAAAAGTTGCAACCCAGAACTGCTCGCAAGAGCCGGTCAGTAGATAGTCGAAGTCACAATCAGAAGATGCATTGGTTGTTACTCATTGGGAACCTACAACATCCATCACCAGAGCTTCGCTTGAATGAGATACTCAAGGGAAGACGAGGAAGTGAAGGCCACTGCTCACAGACAACACCTCGAGGGAAGAGGCGAATAGAATCAGGGTTTCCTCACTGTTGACAGCAGTGGCAGACCTTTGTCATTGAAATATAACAACATCCAGGACCAGAAAGAAACATGGACGAAAACACAATGGACTGAAAGCAAGAGAAGAGGTGCACAGGGTTTAAATACTGTATATACATCCACAAATATAGTACTGCAAGTTCCTATAACTCGCTTTAGATGTTGAACGTCTTATTCAAAGCAGATTGTAAAAACAGTTTAGGAGTCAGCGGTGGTTTCGTATAGCCTTATACAAAAATATGTATATGTGTCGGTGAGAATGCTTATTTGTCCCACTGTCATTAAGCCATGATTATTTAACCAAACAATCTGACTAAATCCCAAAGGGCCAACGTTGAGATTTTTCTTTCTTCTTCTTTTTAGGAGTTTTTTGGCAGACGTCACTCGGTAAAGATGCATTTACTACAACCTACTCAGTACATTTTTATCAATGTTTCTCTAAAATGACAAACAAACCAAGAAAGAGACGTAAAATACTAGTGTCTCCTAGTAATCTTAAAACGATTTTTCACATGCGGCCTTTCAAACAAGTGAAAAACACTCAATTGAAGAAAACAAATCTGTTATTATAATAATGGCAGTGTTGGGAATTGTCCATCTGCTCGTCTGTTGAAACAATTCTGTGCATTGTTCTCCGTCTTTGTTCCGTTTGTAACTCTCACCCGAGTTTCTCCATCTCCAGACGGAACATTTCCCTTTGAAACGCAGCCATCTCTCGCAGACGAAGGCAAAATTCCACTCGCGGGTGTCAGTGGCTTATGATAAATCCTCCCGTCTTAAAGAACAAAGTCAAAAGCGGAGATAGCGTAGCAGCGCGTGCCGGGGCCAAATGTAGTGCACGTCCAGGAGGAAGTGGCATTTGGCTCCGAGAGAAATGTCACAGTGGACGAGGGCGTTGTTGGTGCGTGAACGGCCATCTGCACCCAGGGCCTCGGAGCGAGAGGGAACAATGTGGAGAGGACACAGCCGTGACCTTCAGCCACAAAAGAAGAACAGACACGGATTCAGATGGATTTTTCTGCTGTATTACAGTATGTACGAAGAGATGGGAGTACAAGCCCAGGGACCGTACTCACAAACCACTGAAAAACTTGTTTGTTCAATTCAATTTAATGTATTCTTGTATAGGACAAAATTACCACAGGAGTTATCGCAGAGGACTTAACAAAACCGTTGACATCGCCAACACAGATCAGAGCATCAACAGTTAAGACACAAAAAATAAAGAACCCCTAGGTATTGGTCCATAGGGAGTTGACCAATGCCCATGAATGTTGATAAATGTCTACACACCAATGCAAAGAGATAGGAATATAGAATAAAAACTAAAAACTTACTTATATACAAGCCTTTTTGGACACGCAAAGACTATTTACGGTTTAATTTAGTTTAGTTTAATTTATTTATGTAAAGTGTCAGGGACAGTGTCCAATAAACAAGCAAGATCTCTGGTGTGTACCATCTTCTGGTGCACACACCCACGCAGGGGTAGTCTTGCACAGCTTTTCCAATGTGGTTTTACTGCAAAAGGCAAACCGAAACTTGAAACAGAGAAACAAGTTATAGCTCAAGAGCTAATTTCCCCCAGTAGTCCCTGGGCAGATGTCATGATATTACATTAAAATGACAAACATACATGGATGCACAGTTTACATGGATGCACAGTTTACATGGATGCACAGTTTACAGTTTACATGGATGCACAGTTTATATGGATGGACATACAGTTTACCTTTGGCCAAAATACCCTAAAAACTAAAGTATTCACATTCATATCTCTCATTTATACAGGTCAAACACACACATATACACACAAAGTGACAGGATAATAACATTAAAACCACCTTGGAGATGCTGGGGATTGAACCCAGGACCTCATAAATAAAAGTGTGTTCTCTACAACTGAGATACATCCCCTTTATGCATAACTTTTATACAGTTGGTTATGCAACAACTTGTGCAACAACTTTCAAGATATGCAATGAAAACATTCAATATTTCAAATTATCTGTAGAGTAGCCAAATAAACAATAACATCACAGTTGGTTTTCCAACAAAAAAACGTAAACTTTGAATTGACTAAAAACACCTTGGAGAGGCTGGAGATTGAAGCAAGGAGCTGAATCTCCTTTTGCAGGCTTCTCTAGTTAATCAAGGTTGGTGAACTAACCAAATATTAACCAACAACATTGAAAAAACATGTGATCCAAGACAAATGTTGGATGACTTTGGAAATTTAACTGAGTACCTCATGCATCACTAAGTATGTAGTGAACCATTGAGCTTCATCCCTTCTCCAAGTTTCCAGGGCACGAGCAAATAACTACTAACCAACTATACATCACGCCCGGTTCAAAACGTATGCACACACACGTTGCTGACAGGATTCGAACCTGTGCGGGGAAACCCCAATGAATTTCAAGTCCATCTCCTTAATCTCTCGGCCACAGCAACTGATTGACTTTCACCAACTCCATAAATAGTGGCCAAATCAA